ACACTTCTTCCTCCAGATGGTCATTTAGAAATAATGATTTAACATCCAATTGATGCAGAAACCAACCAGCTTGAACTACGATTGATGCCACCATTTGAATTGTCTCAATCTTGGCTACTGATACAAATACTTCACCATAATCTACTCCATCTTGTTGTAGAAAACCCTTGGCCACAATTATGGCTTTATACCGCACCACTTCCCCTTGTGGATTTACTTTGACTTTAAACCCATTTCAAAGCAATGGGTCTTTTGTCATTAGGAGCATCAACTAATTCCCATGTTTGATTCTTCTCAATAAAGGCAATTTCCTCCTTCATATCCTTCCACCAATTCTCATCAGCTACTGTATCTTCGAATGTGAGTGGCTCAGCTTCAGCTATTAATGCAAAATGAATTAAATTGCCTTTAGTCGTTACAACAGAATATATAAATACTTCATAATCCTGCAAGTGTATTGGTCTTTGCACTGCTCTTGCTGATCTTCTCATCAAGCTGCTCCTGGTTATCATCACTCCTCATTGATACTTCCTGATTTTCAACACTTAGTTCACCTGCTGGAGAATCCACATCCAACATAATTCTGGTATGAGATGTCTCGTGTGATGCTGACCCCCAATTCCAGCTTGAGTTTTCATCAACAATTACGTCTCTGCTGAACGAGACTTTGTTATTCTCAGGATCCAGCAGTTTATACCCTCCTTTTGAGTTGTAACCAATCAAGATTAGTGGCACACCTTTATCATCCAACTTTCTTCTCAATTGATCAGAACAATTCTTGTAACATACAAAACCAAATATATTCAAGTGAGTAATGTGATTTTTTTTTCTTATTATTATTTATATAAGAGTAGCAGGTCAAATAAAGATATTACATATATGTAACAGTAATTTACATCACTATATATGTACAAAAGAAGAAAAATTTTTATTTATTTTTTATTCCTTTTATTTTTACTACAATTATACAAATATCTATATTGTCGGTGGAAACAAATAATTAAAGAGTTTTAGTAAATGGTAGGAGACATACAAAAGGTAATTACTACTGATCCATCTAACATAATGAGATTTCCTATATCATATGCAAATATTAATATTGATAATCTTGTCCCTTTAAAAGTAATTGAGTTGTCAATAACATTCGTGTTCCAAGTAATTACTGAAAAGAAGGCAATGATGCTTGCAGAAAAATAATTTAGAATATTTGGCGGCTCCATTTACTTAAGTTGTTATTTAAATAAAACATGCACAAAAGATCACAATAGGGAGTGAGAACATTTATCATTTACAATAATATAATCTTATAACATATATATATATATTTCAACTTTCTCAACACATTCTATTTTATGAAGATTTAAATTAATTTTGTAGTGACTAGTCAGGATAAATGAACATAATTTTAATCACTCTCTTAGTGATATTTACTCATTTAAATCCCCAAGGTTCAATCTCTATCTACAATATCATCAAATCTTCATAAATAAATATTATTATTTAAAAATAATTAAATAATATAAATATAAATTAATAAATAAAATTGGTGTATAACTAGAGATAAAATAAAATAAACAAACAGGACTAGTACATAACTGGATATAATTAAAATATGACCAGTACATAACCTGGAGATAATTAAAATAGGACCAATACATAACTGAAAATAATTAAAATAGGATCAGTGGAAGACTAGAGAATAATAAATAAACATAAGGTAAGACTAGTACGTAGTTAGAGATAAATAAACAAGTAACTAAATAAATAAAATGAGGTTAGAGACACCTCACTCCACAACTATAATAAAATAAATTTAATGATAATATTCTCCTCCCCTATCTCAATATTGCAGATGATACAGTAAAATTTGTTTCCAAGTTGTTTCTCTTCTCTCCCTCTCTCTTTTCTTCTCTTCCTTTTTCTTTTCCTTCTCCCTTTCTTACCTTTCTCCCTTCTTCTTTTTTTTTCACCACCCCCACTCCTTTATATAGGAAGATTTTTACTTTTTTTTTTTCATTAATGATTCTTATCTTCTTATTAAATTAATAATTTTTTTTTAAGTCTTGGTTAAAATCTTATCTATTCTTGTACAAAGAGATAAGAATGTTATCTTCAATTTTTTTTTCTTTTTATATATTAATGATAATAATAATAATTAATTCATATTACATTTTATTTTTAATAGTATATAATAACTATTATTATTATTAATTTCATATATATATATATATTAATTTACCTATAATATTATTTAATACATTATATTTAAAGAAAATTTAACATAAATTATTTTTCATATGTTATAAGTAACATTTGGTTTCATCCCACTCCATGTCTCCTCAGGGGTTACTCCATTTAGCCTTTTGGTTGGAGCTCTATTCAAAACATAAGTGGCAGTCATAACTGCCTCACTTCACAGGTAACTTGGTAGACTTTTGCTTTTCAACATGCACCTAACCATGTTAAGTAGTGTTCTGTTTCTCCTCTCAGCAGTGTCATTATGCTGAGGTATATAGGGGGTATGACTTTCTGCACGATTCCAATATTCTCACAAAATTCACGAAACTCTTATATTTAATTGCAACCCGCTTTGCCTTTCAACCAAACACTTAAACTTCTTATATGTTTCCAGTGCTTCATTCTTCCTCTTGAGCAAAAATGTCCACATTTTTCTGGTCAAATCATCTGTAAAAGTCAGAAAATATCTGGTCAAATGATGAATATATTTTGTCTGTTTAGTATTTTTTTTTATTTACATATATGCTCTCTTATCTAATATGGTATTTAGAGCAATGTTTTGATTGAAAGAATTATGAAGATTTGGTGAGGTTAATTTCTCGTGAGGTGATAATTTTTTTTTGGAGCATTAGACCAATAGGTTTAAGAAGTGTGTCGGATAAGAGGTAAATCCAAACGTCAGAATTGGTTCTTGTGTTATCAAGAAATTGCAAAGAAGAATTTGGTTGATAATGCTAATAAGAAAGTTGCAGGAACATATCTGAAATAAGGAGCCTTATACAAGGAGGGAGGGTTGCAGGTATTTGTGGCAAGAAAAATCAAAATGATATAATATGAATATATTTTGTTTGCTTAATATTTTTCTTATTTGCATATATGCTCTCTGATATAATATATTTAACTCTTCAAAAGCATAAAACATATGTATAAGTTGGCAATGGTAAAATGTTTGGACTTTTAAATTTGAATTATGTACGGTGGAATGCAATAATTGAGTTTTATTTGAGTGTTTTTACTTTAATTTAAACAACTAATAGAAACATTAACGAAAATGTTTAGACGCAATAATGGCGTAGACCCAAAACAATCGAATTGGTCCAACTTAACTTAATCTAACCCAAATATAATAGGGTATTGGTTTTATAGTTTCTTCATGCACATGAAAATCATCGTGTTTTTTATCTTTAAAGAAAAAAAATTTAGAATATATAAAAATTTCATTAAATATATAAAAAAACTAAATTTTAAGGACAATGAAAATAATCTTCACATAATTTTTTTTCACAAATATCTAAATCATATTTTTTCCACATCCAACCTTCTCTACAAATTCTCCCGAATATCCTTCCAAAATAGTCTCAATTAAAGCCAATCAATTTTCTAAAATCCTCTTTAATTCTATTATTTTATTTTATAAATAAAAAACTATGTGAACCGACAAAAAGGTTAAGAGACCGACTCGATACAAGGTTTCCGATTGACATCTGGTTTATTGTCGTGACGGTTACTGGGGACGGTGTTTTTGACGTGGCCAGGCCACTACGTAAAAGGGTCTGAAGAAGAATAAAATATGGTGTGATGTATGGAGCAGCAACTTTTGTATAAAGAATTGAGAGGAGTGAGAATATGTGCATTATTAGTAGTAAATGTTAAATTAAATAACCCATGTAATTTTCCCCACTAACGTTAATTGGAATTAAAAGCAGCATTAACAATTAAGTGGCTAAATAAAGATTTTAATAATAAAAACATAATTCAAATTAAAAAATTGAACAAAGAGTGGAAGGAAAAGAGTAACTGAACTTATTATTGAGTGACGAAAGAAGCAAACATCTGCACATGAATTAGCTCTTACAAAGAGTACAGGGTTCCCGAATCATAATTATTAGTGTTCAATAATTAATCTATACTTCAACTAACTTCGGTAAGGGTCTAATATTCTGCTTCAGTATTGTTCACAAGTGTTGTTTTGTGCTGAAAGTATTTCCAAAATCCAAAACCCAAGCAAAATCAAGTGTTTCAGTACCTCACGATCTTTCAAGAACCCTAGTCTCTACACAAACCGCATTCACTCACTTCCTCTGAAGCTGCTTCGTAGGATCGAGCAGTTTCAGTTTCAATGTCGATGCACAATGAAGTCAAATTCAATTGAGCTCGATTTCGAGGTCTGACTCTTCAATCATGTGGAATTCCTTCTGGAGATCAAGAGATCGTTTCTCCTTGGACCAACTCAGGTCACTACCCTATCTTCACTCACTTCATTTCGATATAATTCCCTCAAGTTATTATCAATTGCCAATTCTGATTCTTGAAGAATCTTGGCTTACTAGTCAATCAGCTGTGTGCTGTAGATATCTTATGGAACTGGAGCCTTAGGTCACTTCTATTTGAACGGATTTTTTAAAATGAACAATTGATTATTGTCTAACTGCGTAATGGTTTCCACTATTTAGGTACTTAACCGACCAATTGACGAAGGTACAAATTATTAACGAGGTTAATGAGGTAAGAATATAATTAGCTCGTCTTTGCTGTCTACTTTCCCTGATATGTTCTTCACGGTTTTCCTAATTTTCTTGATTGTGTTATGTGTGGAAGGGTTTTATTATTGAGGCACTGAGATCAATTGCAGAATTGATAACATATGGTGACCAACATGACCCGAGTTTTTTTGAGTAAGGTTCCTTGGTGCTCATGGTTGTTATTGGCATATTTTTATTTTGCTGGGTATTTATTGTGTCCTAGTTTGTGACAGATTCTTCATGGAAAAGCAAGTCATGGGCGAATTTGTACGTGTTCTGAAACTTACCAGGACTGTGAGCGTTCCGCTTCAGTTGCTGCAAACAGTGAGCATTTTGGTCCAGAACCTAAAAAATGAACATGCTATATGTTAGTCGATGTGGAGTATTGACTTTCTTTAGTTTCTCAGTGACGTGTACAAATGTTGCGGGTTAATTATCTTCTTTGGGTTTTTTCTTTTTCTTTTTTGCAGACTATATGTTCAGTAATGAACATATAAATTATCTGATAACTTATTCGTTTGACTTTGGAAATGAAGAGCTACTATCGTACTACATATCCTTTTTAAGGTTCGTTTTGACCTTTAAGTTATTTCATTTATTGAACTGGTGATTGATGATTTCATTCATAGAATCTGTTTTCTGGTTTGTTCACTTCCCATCTCATTTGTATAATATTGCTTATCAGTTTTCTGTTAAACGTATTTTGTTTTTTGAAGAGCAATAAGTGGAAAATTGAACAAGAATACAGTTTCACTGCTTGTGAAGACTCATGGTGTAAGTTTGCTGTTTTCTTTCGTATTCTAATGTATTTAAATTATAATAACACTTAAGATAGGCTAAATGGTTGTCTTCAAAACCATTGGTTAGCGGGTCTGATGTTCTTGACATTAGAATTGTAAAGGAGACCATATTTGAGTGGGGTTTCCTAGCTGTTTGCTCTCGAGTGGTGATTTTATCAGGTGGATTAATGATACTGGTTTTTGTACTTTGAACAAAACTTTATTAAAATTTCTTGATTAAGAGAAAGATAAGAAAGGAAGGAGGAGAAGTAGATCTACAATAAAAACCTGTTATATTTTCCATGTGGATGACTTGGACCGGGAAGCCTGTGGGAGAGTTGTTTGTCTTTATTGTCCAAATCTTGTGAGATCATTAATTTTGTTCACATATTCATAGTTAATCATTTGTATCTATTTATTCTTTCAAGTATAGTTTTTTTTTTCTTTTGGTTGTGGAGGATGTTATTCTGCTTTTCGTTTTTGGGTTATCCAAATCCAAATGTGTTCACTGTTTCTATCTATCTATCTATCTATCTATCTATCTATCTATCTATCTATGTGGTTAGGATGAGGTTGTTTCATTTCCGCTGTATGTTGAGGCCATACGCTTTGCTTTTCATGAAGAGAGCATGGTTCGCACTGCAGTACGTGCTGTGACCCTTAATGTCTATCATGGTGAGATTTTATTCTATTACATAAGCCATCTTTTGTAGGTTTTTTTTACTCCACGATGACACAGATTCAGTTTTTAAGCTGACAAAAGTATAATTTTCTAATACTATTGTTGTACAATTTCCAGTTGGAGATGACTCTGTCAATAGATATATAACCAGCATTCCTCACAAAGATTACTTCTCAAACCTGATTTCATTTTTTAGGAAGCAGAGCATGGATTTAAATAAACGGCTTTCTGTTACACAGCTGTAAGCAATTTCTTTTCTCTCGTGTGTGAACACATATATTAAGATTCCCTTGTGCCCTGAACAAGTAACTGTGGTTCCTGAATACTGAGACAGAAATCCGGGCCCAGATGCAATCTCTGCAATTATTGCTGCAGTAGATGAAATTGAGGATAATCTGTACTACTTCAGTGATGTTGTGTCTTCTGGAATTCCTGATGTTGGGAGGCTAATTACAGATGGCATTATGATGATTTTGATATTTCCATTACTTCTTCCTTCCCTGAGGGTCTTGCCTAATAATGTATGAACTTGACTTTATGGCATTGTCACTTCATTTTGAATCTACTTTTGTCTTTAAAAATTTTCGAATAGATTTTGATTCTTTTATGCAACTTGTCTATTATTACAGGACATGCAAGATGGTGTTGTCCCTTCTTTGTACTTACTTTGTTGCATCCTGAGGATTGTCAAAATCAAAGATTTGGCAAATACCATAGCTGCTGCTCTTTTTTATCCCTTAGAGGCCTTTACAAAGAGTTCTTGGGGTAAATTTGATTGCTTTATATCTGATCATGGTTTCACATCTGAATGCCAAAGACTAGATAGTGATGATCTTACCAAGTGCGATACAAGACACACAATGGTTAATATTCCATATTCTTTTAGTTTTCAGGTTTTGATTCAGATGCTGTTCTAGTGCAAAATGATTGTACCAGTTCAAATTTGTCATTAAGGTAAAAACCCCATTTTTTTACACACTTATTGTGTTTTTTCTTACTATTTGTAACAAGTTAGATATAATATTTTCTTTTTGTATTTCTGTTTATCACCAGAATTGGAAACATTAATCAATATGTAATGCAAGCTTAAATTACCTAACTGTAAGTTATTCAAGTGAAATATGTAATACTGTTTGCTATCCAAAATAGAAAGGAAAATGACAGCCCCTGGCTTCCTGCACATCCTTCTAGTGTTGCCTCAAAATTGAAACATGTTTCAACAAAATATTTGGTAGTATTGGAGTCAAACTACCAAAGTATTAGAGAGACTAACAGGATTTCTCATGATGTTGCTCTGATATCATTTTAGAATATAGAGAAATTGTATTGCATTTTTGATAATCAAAAGCCACAGTGAAGTCAGCTATATAAATGATCTAGAGAGACTAACAGAATTGTAATTGACTAAGAAGAAGATCCTAACTACCTATAACTGTCAAAAGCTTAACAGAAAAGAAGGGATCTATTTACAATAGGAGAAAACTATACTCCAATCCAATGGGTAGTAACTTGGGTGTTTATATATTAAATCAATATTTTTGATGTCTTCTAATAGTGTGGTTGTTCTACTTTAATTTGAGAGTTAAGCTTTGTTTACAGGAGGTCTTTTGCATTTTTCGCATAATGACTTCTATGATTGATGTAGGGAGGTTTTGCTTGCATATATAACAAAAGGAAATGATATCTTGGTTTTGGGTTCTTTGAGTGTTCTTGCTATTCTGCTGCAAACTAAAGGTTGTCTCATTGATTTTTTTTATTTTTTTTTAACCAGTGCATTGTTTTCTGTTTACTTAGTATTTCTTGTTCTGTAGAACTTGACGAATCAATGCTCTATTGGCTTGGAATTCTTCCACAACGGAAACAACATAAGAAACTGTTATTGGTATGCTGTATTCTTCCATTTTGATCTTCCACAATGGATACAACACTGACTTGATATACGTACAGTGAATATAATAGACAGTTTCCTAATTACAACAGTATCTTCTTTATACATTGAACCTAGACATTTACACTAAATGTATGCAAAACAATATACAATTAACTTTTCTTCAAGTTGGGGGAAAACAGGTTGCATGTGCTAGGCTTGTTACAAAGAAACTATAAAGCACATCAATTCGGTTCTGATGAATTGGTCTACTGACATGCTATTTGATTGGCTTTGCATATTTGTGCAGCAAGCTTTAGTTGGTGAGGGTTCAGGTGAAGAACAACTTTTTTCATCCAAAAGTAGCTTGACTAGGGATGGCATTGGTACTGATGTCAATGTATATCATAACAAGATCAAGGTTTGGACTTCCATCTTTTCTTCAGCAAGTGATGATTTATTCAATATACACAACCAATATTTATTTAGATTTAAGAATCTCTATTTCTGATGGTTGACTTTTTTAAGTTTAACATGTTTCACAGGAGCAGTATGGAGTATCTTTTCTGCCTTCTAATGTGGTAATAAGTCCTCATGTACATAGATTTCAGGTAAATGTTTGTATATAGTAGAATCTTGCTGGTATACTGTTTTTTTAGTTTAGTTTCTCTATACCTCTTGAAAGTCTCTTATTGCAATTAGTAGGTCTGTCTTTTCATTTAAAATTATGGAACTGTAACTGTTAGGCTCAATGGGAAAAATCAAGGTCAGAGTAACATTAATTATCAAAAAATGATACTGCTGCTTCTGATAATAGGTTTCTAGAAGGAGCCTAGTCATCAACAATTTGTTTAAGCAAATAAAAAAAGCTCGTCTCCACTCTATTTTATTTAATATTGCAATCTTCTATTTTGTTCTTTTCTCAAGATTCTGTTGCGCAAAGCTGTATTCCTTTTATTTGACATATAAAAAACTTTGTGATGAAAAGGTTGTATATATGTGGATCTCATTTTTCTGATGAAATGCAGAGTGAATGAATACATTTTCCCTCTACAACATGTTCTCTCACTCAGTTTTTGTTTTATTATGGTATCAGAGCTCAAAAATTCAGAGCTCTAGTGGCTACATTCAGCAATGACTGACCCCACTCAAGATACCTCTTCCCCATATTATCTACATCCCTCAGAAACACCAAACCTTACCAAACCTTACCGTTACCTCCAATATTCTTGAAAGAAAAAACTATTACCAGTGGTCTTTCAGTTCGAATGAGTCTCATATCCAAGAACAAAATTGATTTTATTGATGGAAGTATATCAATCTCATCCCGCACAAGTGCCCTTTTCTCAGCATGGAAAAGGAATAACAAGATGCTTGTTTCCTGGATTCACAAATTTCTATCACCCACCATCTATCAAAGTGTCATATGGATGGATACTACCTTTTCCATATGGAATGATCTTAAGGAGAGGTTCTCTCAAGGAGATATGTTCAGAATTTCAGATTTACAGGATTGGTTTTCTCTTTTAGGCAAGGAGAATTAGCTGTAATAGATTATTTCAGGATGAACTAGATGTTTTTCGCCCTTTATCACCTTCCGCTTATGATATCAAATGTACTTGTAATGCTTCAATCAGCAATGAAAAATATGGATTCCAAGACCAAGTCATTAAGTTCCTCAGAGAATTAAATAATTACTCTACTGTGAAGACTCAAATCCTTCTTATAGATCCTCTCTTCCATCCCTTAATCATATTTTCTCTCTTGTTATAAGAGAGACAAGTCTTTGGTGAGTCAAAAACCATGACAGTTGTTGGGAGAGGAGGAAATTTCAGAAACAACAATGGCTAAAATGGTGTTTCTAATGGATCTGGAAGAGGTAACACACCTCGATAGAAAATTAGTTTTGGTGGAGGGAATAACACCAAAGTATGTGGTCGTTGTGGCAAAACAGAGCATACATTTGACACATGTTATAGAAAACACGGGTTTCCTCCACATTTCAAGTTCAAGAGTCAGAACAAATATCTGAATCTTGTGTATTTCAACGGTGATGAGCACAACATTCAAGGGTCTAAAGCAATATGCAAGCACAACAGTTTGGTTTGACTTTAGAACAGTATCAAGGACTATTAGCTCTTTTACAGCAGTCACAAAATAGGAGAAGTGTTACAAATCAAGTTTCTGTCACTCTTTCAACATCCTCTGGTCAGAATAAGTCTCCATGTGATGTTAATAACACTCTTCAATTTTTCAGTTCTAGGGTACTTGAGAGTGGAGCTACTGATCATATATGGTCATCTTTATCCTATCTCACTTCCTTTCATAAAATTAAACTTCTACATGTCAGGCTACCAAATGGAAACAAAGTCAGCCAATTATTCTGGTAGTGTTTTTTTTATCTAAAACCATGTCATACATCTCTATATTTTCTGTTTCACTTTTAATCTTTTGTCACTAACAAGATTGATTGAATTTTTGTCTTGAACCCTCACCTTTGATTCTACTCATTATTACATTCGGGACAAGAATTCATTGAAGAAGATTGGTTCATGATAACCTTTATATATATACTAGGTGTCTTCTTATCAAAACTACATTAGGCTTCAAAGCCTTCTCATCACCTTGTGAATGCTGTTAATTTGCTTCTGTTGATCTTGAGATTCTATGACACTTTAGTTTAGGACATACTTCAAACAAATGTATATAATCAAAACAAGTTTTCTGTATGTTAAGTATGTCAAATCCTATGTCTGTGATGTGTGTCATTGTGCAAAACAAAAACAGCTTGTGTTTCTCATTAGTGTTTCTAAATCTGTTGAATGTTTTGATCTTATACATGTTGATCTTTGGGATCCAACCTCAATACCTTCTATTCATGAACATAAGTATTTCTTAACCATTGTAGATGATCATGCGAGGTACACCTGGATTTTTCTTTTAAAACAAAAATCAGAAACAACAAAAATAATTCAAAATTTTATTAATTTAATGAAAACACAGTTTGAAACCAACATAAAGGTTATTGGAAGTGATAATGCCATTGAATTCTTTATGACTGACTTTTTTGCTAGCAAAGGAATTTTACACCAAACTTGTTGTGTCAATACCCCTCAACAAAACAACATAGTAGAAAGAAAACATGGTCACTTGTTGAATGCAGCTAGAGCTCTCATGCTGTGTTACATGCTGCATACATCATAAACATGCTTCCCACAACTGTGTTAAATTACTCATCTGCACACTAAATTCTTTTCAAAACTCAATCCAATTTTTCACAGTTAAGGGTTTTCAGGTCTTTGTTTTTCTTAGCACCTCTTCAATAATAGAAATAAATTTGATCCAAGGGCTTGTAAATGTGTTTTTCTTGATTTTAAAATTGGAACAAAGGGATATATTGTCCTGAACACTCAAACCAGAGAATTTTTTGTGTCTAGCGATGTTATTTTATTTTATATGAGCATGTTTTCCGTATCAGAAAACTCAAGAGAGCAGCAACAGTGAAATTGACAGTCCTAGCATTGATGAGGAGAATTTATCTAGTTATGACCTTGACCACAACTGATACTTGTCCTTTAAATCCTGCACATTCTTGCACACCTAAGAACAATCACTCTGATAATACAGAAACTTCACCAAAAATCCGTGATCAAGAAAATCAAAGTGACACCCCATCTAGTTGTAGAAATATCAGGACAAGAAGACCCGCAGATTATCTAAGGGTTATAGTTGCAATTTTAATTTTACCAATAATTCTTCTCACATTAAGTATCCATTATCTTCTATCAAGTCATTATCCTCACAAATTGAACTGAGTTCCTAATCAGAAGCTCTAGAGAGTGACTGCTGGAGGAAAGCTTTCAATCTGAGACATCTGCTTTGGAGTCAAATCAAACTTGAGATATTACATATCTGCCTAAGGACAAATACTATATTCAGAAGCTCTTGCGAGTCATAATATTGCAATATTCTTTTTTTGTCATTTTTTTTAGATTCTATTGCCCAGCTGGATTCCTTTTATTGGACATATAACAAATTCTGTTAAGAAAATGTTGTATATATAGGGATCTCATTTTTCTGCTGAAATGCAGAGTGAATGAATACATTTTTTTCCGTCACACATTATCTCTCACTTTTTAGTTTTTGTTTTATTATTGAATCTGAGAGCATCATGTGAAAAACTTTTAGAATTTCAAAGTAAAATTAAAGAGCTACCAGACTTTTTACTGTTAACTGAGGATAAATGGTTATTGTTTATTTGGTAGTATGCGAACACATGTGTACGTCCCCGTGTGTTATAAATTAGTTTGATAAATTTCACTGAATTTAATCTAACATGTATTAGTAATTATCGGGGACCAAATCCTAACACCAAGTAAATATTACCTTATGACTTAAAGGTCAAGAGTTCAAGGTCCCTCACCTCACTAGGTGGAAATCTCATGCACTGGATTGGCCTTGCCCTTTTATATTAGTGTACCTTTTAGAAGACTTCATCCCAAATGTAATGCCTTTATAGGTGTTCAAACTGTCTCTTGTTTGGGCTTTTAAGGATAAAATGTTACTGTATCATTTTCATTTTCTTAATACTTAAAAATCCATTTTTGGTGCTACAAGCATTGTCCAAAATTACTATTCTCTATTGTCTGTTTTCTGATGGATGTTTTTTCCTCTTTTGAAAGAAATTGAAAGTCAACATATAGTTTGTTGTGTTTGGGTTTAGTAATTATATACGCTTTGTTCTGTTTTTCAGGTCATTGATGCATTAGTAAACCTCTGTTGTCGTCCTAATATATCTGCAGAGATACTGTGGGATGGTGGTTGGCTTTTGCGCCAGTTGCTTCCTTACAGTGTGTCAGAATTCAACAGCAATCACCTTGAATTACTGAAAGTAAGAACAGATGAGGCTTTTCTAGCAATCCCTCGAGAACTGAATACATTCTCTTGTGATCCTGTTATGTTTACAAAAATATCACATTAATGACATGATTTTATTAAGGCAATTAGAGAATACGATATTATTCTCAGTCCTCAAAATTAGTGTTTATCCCTTTCCCCAGACTCCAACCTCTTCTTGTACCCTTCTCCCATAATGCCCTCTATAACTAAGACATGTTGCCAAATTCCAATTACAGAAAGAAAATTGCATCACTGTTCTCACCTTCTATAATGTATTTCCATTTAGGTGGCTCAGTACAATCCAGGTTCGCAATTCATTCCTCATCTGAACACTATACATCATTCAGTCAATGATTTTTATTAATATCAATTTAGCAGAGATTTTGAGGAAGCTGGGTAATTTGAGATGAGATATTAGTACGGAATTACATAAAAATCGAACATCCTTTGCATGTTTGGTCATGGAATCAAAATTTTATTATTTCTCAATTATACAGATATTCTAATAATTTAAATGGTTAACAGTCAACTAATACATAAAATACATGGGTATAATTGTATGGTTATGAATTTAACATTCCCAATGGAGAGTCCCCTTGAAAGTGCCTGAAGGATATCTAAGTTCAAAGAAAGGTTATATTAAAGTCAAAACTATGGATAAGAAAGTTGATGTTGAAGAAATAATACAAAATTGAAACAGAAAATAAGAAAATATTTGAAAATTTCTTAATTCATTTGCTTATTGTCTTTGTAGAAATAGTAAATGGGTTGTTTGAAAGATTGTACTTTTTGATAAATCATGCCTTTGTTCATGAATAGTCACATTAGTAGGCTACGATTGTAAATTGAATATGTACCAAGAATGCAAAAGAGATTTAATAGAAAGAATCATAAAGAAAAATGAAAATGTTTAGCAGTCCTACTAGTATCATCTGCACCATTTTCATCCCCTAATGCAATTATTTCAATATTCTTTTCTGATACAGGTATCGTACAATAATTATGCTTCAGCTCTTGTAGAGGAGGTTAGAGGTATTTGGTCCGACTTCCTTATTTCTGTTCTCTGTGATGAATGGAGAAAGTGCAAGAGAGGTGATTTTTTATATCAGATATTTTGTTGTGAGAGATTTACTTATGTTCTTGAGCAAGAAAATTTTTCTACCTGTAGCAATGGAGTCTTCATCTCCTCGGAAAGAACCAAGTTGCGTACTTTTGCTACTGTGGAAGATTGCTTCAGACGGTAAGCTTGTACCTGTTTAAATTCATTTTTCCTTCGGATGGAAGAGTTACACTCCCTTTTAAGTGTTCCCTCTGACTCTTGTCCCTGCAGGTTATATTACAGAGGGGTCATCCTTTGCTGCTGGAAAAAGAATGCATGAGTTGGTGAAGGTCTGTACTTCCTATTCTTCCCCCCTCTCCCAACAGACATTGTTTAAAAAATGCAATGTGGCATAAAAAATGTGAATTGATTCTCAATTCAGATTCTTAATGGATAGCCGAGTGATGTGTACCTTCATACGATGAAAAGATTTATGTTGTTATTTTCCCATTTAGGTATTTGTACTACTGCACCAGCTTCAAATATTCACTCTTGGCAGAGCTTTATCTGAGCAAGCACTGATTTACCCTCCTGGTGATCTCCCTGCAAATTGCCGTGCCCGAGGTTCTGGGCTTGGTGTGTCAGGCCCAAAGGCAGGAACTGAAGTCAGCCTTGGTCAGTGATCTGAACTGCAATTTCTTCTATTCTCTACAATGGTTTTACTTAAGCCAAGGTTTATGCTTTGCTTTAGGATGGACAAAAGAGTAAAAAGTAGGAAGAGGAGAACGAAGGAAAGTGGGGGAGGGTAGAAAGAAAAAGAGGGAGGACAAAAACCATCTCAATTGTAATCCCAGCTGCAAAACATATTCTGAGAGCCCGACACAAGTATATAGCCAAACTTAATAGTCTAAGCAATCAAATAGTAATAAATAACTATCCAACTTTATACCAATTAATGAGAAGACAAAGTGACAACAAAGAAAGTAAGCAGGTGGTAGACATAGTCATGAGTGACTTAGAGAGGCTGGTGTCCTGTGTTTCATGTTTCGTGCTCTTACTCTCTGATTTTGTCCTTTTTTGTTTAGTTTTTGAGGATACCCTATCCTGTTGTTTTATATCTCCTTTTCTTTCTTAATAAGTTCTATTGTATCAAATTAAAGTAACATTGTCGTTACTGCTTGTTTTGAAGTGTCTATAGTTGACATTGGCCATGTGTGAAGATTTTCTCTCTCTGTACTTGTGTACTTCTGAACATGGGCCAATCCGTAGTGATTTAGTGCATATAGCAACTGATTATGTTACAAAATATTATGTGGAAGGAATGATTTTGGGACTAAAGTGGAAAAATGTATTGTAAACCTGTCTTGTCATTATCACAGATTAAAAGGTTACTTGAACCACATACTTATTGATTTCTTGCAATAAACCTGATAGCAGGTAGCTAACGAGTAAATTCCACCTATTTGAAATTTGAAGAAAATGTTGGTGTCTTCTAATTAATAATTATTAATCATTACAGTTTCCTTTAGTTTTTTTTTTTCTTGGTGGGTCTTTTTGATACTATATGTATTTAGTGTTTTTCTTGTTTTAGGTTGTGTTACTCGTGATTCCTCTGTGGCCTAAAGAGGAGAGCTACATCATGCTATTATCTTTGGTCTGCAATCAACTGATTTGTTAAAATTCTCTTATTCCTTTTCCTTTTTCAGGCAATGCCCTACCTTGTAGGATTGCTTTCGAGAGGGGAAAAGAGCTCCATGTTTACTTTCTAGCAATCTCTTTAGGAATATCTGGGTGGCTCGTTCTTGCGGAAGAATTGCCACTGAAGAAGTCTCATGGAGTGGTTCGGTCTGTTGCTCCTTTGGCTGGGTGCAATGTATGTATACTTCTCTACCTTTGAATCTTAATCTTGAGTTAAGTTTATTTGATTATCTGACAATTATGATGCAAAGTCATTTCTAAAAAATAGAATAAAGCATTTAATGGAAAATTTATTTTCAGCTTAGGATAAATGATTCACAATTTGTTGATGAATTAATGTTTATTGACTTAAAATCTACAACGCTGGCTTATGTTTTAAACTTGAATTATTTTGCCAAAAGTTCTTTTGTTTTTCTTAATTTTCTCATTTTCTTCTGTTGGTTAAGATACAAAGCCAACAGTTAATTTAATTTGAAAAACTCTGCTATGATTATTTTTACGCTGATTATAAATAATCTTACCATCAAAATTGTCCTCGTTGTTATAGCCCAGGATTGATGATAATCATGCAACGTGGTTACACTTGCGGATTCGGGGATCCTCTTTACCCTTTCTAGATCCTGTCCAATTCAAAGACTATGGGAAAAAGAAAGCAAAAGTTTCGGTAGATGGCAGATGGACATTGGCGTTCAGAGATGAAGAGACTTGCAAGTCTGCTTTTCTCATGATTGTTGAAGAAATCAATTTTCTAAGTAATGAGGTTCATAGAAGACTAAAACCATTGCTCAACCTTGAAACTGAGATAGATTTATCAGGTTCGTCTGTGTGTGTTCTGGAGGATACCTCTCCGTATAGAACACGCCCCAATTAATTTTTACACCCTTTTTATATACCTCCAAAAAATATATTTTCGATTAGTAGTAATTGGTTTAGTTTCATTCTTTTATATACTAGCTCTTCGTCAAGTTTTCCAACATATGTAAATATAAGGAACCTCGTTAAGAAAGCTTTTCCTACTCTGTTATTTTTATTGTTTGGGGTTTTTTTTGTATAGATGTATTGACGCTAATTGTACTTGAATTTATTTATTTTTTCTAATTATAAGGGTTATCAAAATAGACTGAGTCTAAGTTTATTAAAAAATATATATTTAGATAACCTGTCTATTTTAACAGTTTTACCAAATATTCTGAGGTGGATGGCTTGCGTTGTGCAGTGAGTTAATACTCTAATTATTCGGTTATGCTATTACAAACTTTTATATTCTAGAGTTTTTTAAAAAGTTTTATGTTTTATATTTGCTTAATTTAGTCCATCTTCGAGTGTTATGCTAATGTGCCGATGTAAGAGAGTTTAAAAAAAAGTAACAAATTTTTATAGGCTGGTGCATGAGATCGGGTTATGTAGCTGGATTTTTTCAACTATTTTTTAACCTTCCCCAGTTTCTTTTACTAGTCTTAATTAATTAATTAATTAATTCAATCAAAGAAATTAAATAATGTAGTCAATAGCCTTAAATATATATATATATATATATATATATATATATATATATAAAATTATTTCTAATGTTAATTAGATGTAGTTTAATTACTTTCATGTCTCTTATCTTAGTATATTTTCTGTTTTAATTTTAATTGGCTATGCAAATGAATAGTCAAGGTTGGGTTACAAAAATATTTTTATTCAATACATAATTAGACTTTTAAAAAGCTTCAAACATTAATTATTTTATTTATTAAATTTTCAAGATTACTTTATTAATTTTTTTAATTAAAAAAATATTTTTTATGTAGTATGTTGAAGATTTGCCTACGTAATAATATAGTCTAGTCACGCATTGTTGATGCAATCGATTTGAGAATAACAACTTATTCGTGAAATAACAGAAGATATTGTAATTAATAATATTTAAAATATGAATATTTTAATTTTGAATTTATTCAAAAACATGTAATTTTAAGTGTAGCTGATGGATTGTAGATCTGGATTCAGACATTCTTAGTGATAACAACAGTTTCATTAACCTTCAATACATGTTATCTGACTGAGAACCATACCTTCGAACCCTCTCATCAATCCACTCTCTCATGTCCCGCAACACAAGGTTGGCAGACTCATCAGGCTCCCCCTGAATCAAGGAATGGTACATCCCATCATAAAGCTTCAACGTCTTATCCTCACTCGAAGCCTTCTCGTACAGCAGCTTGGACGACGAAGGACACGTAACGCCGTCAGCAGTTCCGTGAGCGGTGAAAAACGGCGCCGTCACTCTGGAGAAATTATCCTGCACATACTGCGTTACCCTGAGAAGCTCCCGCATGGTTCCCACTCTAGGTGGGCCCGTGTACCTCCTTGGGTTTGACGCTATAATCTTCAACTTCTCAGGATCCCTAATCGCCTTTCCTACCATCTTGTTATCGGGCATCGCCGCCCAAGTGTCAGCCAAACCGAACAAGAGACCGTACATGAACAAATGTACCTTGCTGGGTTTCATATCCTCAGGAATCACGAAAAGCGGCGCCGAGAAAATCAGACCCGTCCAAGTGTCCGGATCTGATTTGAAGTACATTAGAAGCGTCGCTAATCCTCCCATGGATTCGCCGAAGAGGAACGCGGGCAGGGTTTTGTAAGAGTCGCTGCGGCGGACGTGGACGAAAAAGGAGAGAGAGGCCGCAGCGACGCTGTCCATGTCGCCGAGGTAGCAGCGGAGGCCTTCGGAGCGGCCGTGGCCGAGTAGATCGGCGGCGAACACGGCGTAACCCCAGGTGGCGAAGTTGATGCAGATTTTCTGGAATAGCCAGCCGGTGTCGGAGCCGTAGCCGTGGGTCATAAAGACGGTGGCTTTAATGGGTTGGTCGAGAGGGAGGAAGGATTGGGTGAAGATTTTGCCATTGGGGGTTTGGAAGTGGGACTTGGTGTCACGGATGCCTTGGGAGGTGTAGTATTCCTCTTCGGGCATGTGGCCCCAGAAGTTTGGGGGAACCTCTGATGATGATTCCGGTGCCATTATTGTGTGTGTGAAGTTGAGAAGGCGTGGGAAGAGGAGTTGAAAGATATAGAAAGATGGAGAGAGTAGCGTTAGGTTGGTTGGGTTGGTGGGTGGGTGGGTCCCAGGGAGTTGGTGAACCAACTTACTCCACCACTAAGGTAAGTCATACGAGGTGCTGATCAAAAGTACTCACTTCAGCTCTCGTGGCAATGGCCATGGCGGATAATTCCCTCATTTTTTTTTATTTTTATTTTTGGGTTATGGTTTCATCAGTTTAAAAAATAAACTGCTTCTATCAGACAAGATAATTCTTTTCTCGCCTCTCTTGTTCTATCAAATTAAGTCAAACCAGTGCACGTACACCACCTGTTTTTTAATTACTTTACAAAAGTTATATTAAATAAATATTAATTAATTCTTTTTAACTACTCTTGACCAGAAACTATCATCATAGACTATATACTATTCATTAAAAACAATTCATAACGTTGATCTGTTGTAAATGAAATGAGATCTGAGATTGGAATGGAATTTTTTTTTTTAATTGATTCAAGAAGATTTGTATCGATATATAAGTGAGTTTTCTGTGCAAACTTTGCCTATTAAAAAAAAAAAAGAGATTTAGATGAAAAATCAATGAACAATAATAAATAATTATGTTTCCCTTAAATTTATTCTAATGTTTATAGATTAATCACTTATTTGAGTGTTATTTTTATCAATCATTTTTATTTCATTATTTCATTTTTCTTTTCATTATATATATATATATATATATATATATATATATATATTAATAAAATAACACTGTTTATAAAAAACTCCCATAATCAATCTCATTGTAATATATTATGATATAATTAATTTTAAGTTATTATTTTTTGTATTCTTTTAACATTATTAAGATCAATTAAATATATATATATATATATATATATATATATATTAAAAATTACCGGTTTTAAAAATGTAAACTATATAAATATTTTTTAGAATCATGATTAATTATTATTATTATTATTATTATTTACAAGTATAAAATAAAAAAATAAATGCTAAAATTGATATTTTTATGGGAAAATTATACAAAGTTTTATTTTTTAGTCAATTCTATCAAAATATTATTATTTTCTTAAAATTATATCATTAAGGTAAATGTTTATTAATTTTATTATTAATTAATCTTTATAACAAAATTTGTCCGTATTATCTTTAAACATGTATATTATCTTCTTTATATAGAAATTTTTTTATCCAGTAATATTAAACATAATTTTTTTGTCTCTTTTTTTAGCAATGTTCAACTCTCACTTTTTATTTATTTTTATTTATTTTAATTATCTATATTCATTTTTACTTATATTTTATTTTTTTTTAATATAAAAATATGTTAATTATTTTTTATATTATCATGTACTAACTAATTATGTTTTGATTTTAATTTTAATTAGGAATTACAATGTTTCAGTATGATTTTGAGAACAAAACACTCTTATCATAAAATTTGAAAAAAAAATCAAATATATAAATATAGATAATTGATTATATAAGTATGAATAATCAATTATATAAATATTATATTAAAAAAGAACATATTATATTTATTATATATAAATTTATATTGGTAAACGAAGTTATAACTATTTATTATTAGTATGTCATTTGTATTTTTCATTTATTTATCTTTATTCAAATAATCTTGTTTTTTACTTTTTCTTTTTCTTTTCTACTCTTACAATTAACTCCTTAATTCAAACACAGATTTGGAGTGTTTACCTGGAGCTCTACGAGATGATGATGAAAAATGTGGATAATTTTTTAATTTCAATTTTAATCATAAAATTAAAATTGAACTATAGTAAGAAAAAATATGGTAACCTAAGGGGTTACTCCCATAGAGAAAAAAGGTGAAATGTTTCAGCAGTCATGCTAGTTAGTGTTTCACCACCGTCATAACTTTACACCTTCATTTTTTTTATCTTTCTTTTCTACATCTCATATTATATATATGCAAATCAATTAAATCCCTCTTTTTGATAAATTAGTGTTTTGCAAATTGAATCATTATGTGAAACAAAAAGATAAATCATTCATTTTTTGAAACATTTCACGAATACTTTTCCCTACCTTCTCTAATTTTCGTTGTCTACTTCTCTTCCTTTTATCTTAACACCTCTCCCACTTCTCTCCTTCTTTAACTGCATTTTTTGGTTTTCAACAGTTATTTGACACATGTTTGTCTAGCATTATTACATTTTATGTTTTATAATTTTGAGAAAAAAATAAATTAAATCAAGACAATAATGTATTTAATAATTCTTTAACTTCGTTATCTATTGTTACATCGATAATGTCTAATCAAATATTAACAAAATTATTATGAAAGATCAAAATTATAAAAATATAATACTCTGAAAATATAATTACAAATTAAAACTTAAGAGATTAAAATTATAAAATTACTTTTATTTATTTTATTTAGGATGACAATCATTCTATAAGAGGTATGTAATGAAATCTTCTTCCACAGGAAAATATATAATAAAAATCATCCTTAATTTTTTTATGTGGATTAGTAACACAGTAGTAATATTATAATATCTAACACATAAATCTTATCTTATAAAATATTTTTGTAGATTTTAGTTAACAACTTTTTAATTTTTAATATAATATTTATTTTGAGTAAATGACTTGATTTTTACTATATGAAATTTGTAATAATAATTCTTAATTATGGACAAGATTTTTGAGATTACGTGATCTCTCATATATTAAATATTTTATATTAAACCTTACATGATTTCTAATTCATTAATAGATGATATTTAAGTAAGTTTTTTTAATATTGATTATGTATCTTAGACACTACGTGAGATATGGTAATGGACATGAAACCAGACATTCTTTTTTCTATACGTAAGATTGAAGATATAATTTTGTCTTACTTATACCTTATTCTCCTTGAATAAGTTATGTTTTGATATATTTATGATTCTCGTATTATTCAAAATTTAAACGCAATGATATTTTATATATATATATATATATATATATATATATATATATATATATATATATATATATATATATTATATTCTCTCAACCCAGGATTTAAACGTAATAATATTTTATATATACTTGTTTATGGTGAAAATTTGATTGATTTTGATTTATCGAAGGTTAAATTCTAATCAAATCTCAACCATGTAGATTCTTTTTACTTAGGCTAGCAACTAGTTTACAATCGAAAAATGCATGAGAATCGAGAATCTAATAATGCAAAACGGCATGACCTAGGGTACAGAAAGTACTATTTTTTATGTTTTTTATTAAGAAACGTGAAGTAAAGAAAACGTCGAATCGAAAAGCAGTGCGGAATATTAAATTGCAGGGGAATGTAAAAAAAATGGAAACCTTAAATTTGCATTAAGTGTAAATGACAAGAAATCGAAATTGCAGAAATGCAAATAACAGGAAATCGAAATTGCAAAAGTGTAAATAGCGAAGAACTTAAACGCAGAATCTCAACTTACATAAAAGTAAAATAACAAGGAATTGAAAGTGCAGAAACTTAAAGTTGCTAAACGTAAACTGCATCAAAGTAAATTGTATGAACATAAATTACCAGGGAAAGTAAAGAAAACGGTAAAAACAGTCAATGAAAATGGAAATCCAGATCGCCAGAAACTTCATGATTCGTCGTTCTCCGGTAGACTTTTCACTTGTGTTTCTGTTATCTCTACCAATTTCATGTTCTTCCTCAAGCTTTGCTCTATTTATAGAGCGCCCTTCAGATAACCTCCTAAGAGCAGTTAACAAAACTGCCACCACGACACATCACGCACGTCTCTTAGTGTTACGGTTTTAAAAAACTGCATCCCATGTTCCCATGCAAGAGATAACTGCCTCTTTGATCTTCGTCAGCCTTAGTTTAGAAACTGCTTCCCATGTTCTATGTGCGTGTTTAATCGTTCCCTCGATCTCGATTTCAGACATCGAGTACTTTGAATTGCTTTTGATTCCCTTTAATCTTAACTTTACACTATTCTAATTTCTCGATTCTCTTCAACAATAGACATCGAAATTTGTTTCTTCCTCAGTCCTGATTCTCGATGTGTTTTTATCTTTGTGGTCACCAAGTGTCTTTTATCAGTCTTATCAATTTTTTAACCAACTATATGATTTTCGATTTTCTCTCTCTGGTTCTTTCGATCTTGGTATCGATTTTTCTTTTACTAACAAATGTCCCCTCTGGAAGAATATCAATTTTTTATATTCTTCCAAATATGACTCCCGCCCCTAATCGTTCTTGAAAACTCGAGATAACTCCTTGGGATTTTTAGGGTTTCCAGGGTTTTAGGGTTTTTGGGGTTTTAGGGTTTCTTCATTTATGTTACCTGTCACATCACTTCTGCTGCTACGCTTTTACCTACTTTTCAATTCGCCGTTTCGCATACCCTGTCCGCTTCTTTAAATACTTTTATAAATTTTTACCCCTGTTTTTTACCACAAACCTCACTTTTCCCTCGTTTTCCCGTCTTCATCTCCAACCTTTCGTCTTCCTCTTCTCTACCAGCTGAAATGGCAACAACCTCAAAATCTTCTGATTTCTCCGCCCCACCACTCTCCTCAGTGACCTCTAACCTAATAGAGATAAATGGGAGGAAGTTTGCTCCGGTTCCCTTGATGGAAGAAGCCTCCCAGAGGATCACCGAGACCCAGGTACTTATCCCTTACATTGCTGAAAATGTAAGTTATGCATTTGGTGGTCCTATCCGCTACTATGGCAGATCATTTTCTTCTTCTCTCAATCTTTCTTCAGAAAGCAAGACTCCTATCCATCAGTCTGAGGTTCGAATAGACTTTCTGAATATTGTATCTAAAGTATACCGAACAGACCCTCCCCACAAGAAACCCTTGTATATTAGGTGGTTTGATCGAGTAAAAACCAAGTTTGGGAACCATTGGAGAGATGTGGGGATCTTCGATTTCCTGCATCTGTCTCGATGTGATTT